GCCATTGATCTATAATCTGATCAGCAATCCTATCTTAAGAACTTTTATCAAGTGGCATGAGGCGAGCTCAATGTACCCAGAGTCTCGCTATATTATCTCCATTATAACCCTCATCCTAGCAACCGCTACAAGCAGTCATCCCACAGCACACTGCCTGAGACATAACCAACATCAAGGCTGCCAAATCCCCATCAAAAATATAGAGCCAAGTCTCAGCAAGAGGGACATCATCTGTCTACTGACAGATGGGCTCCGGTTCTCAGTTCAGGATAAGTTATTAATTGTTTTAGAGCGTTGATTGGCCAATTAGCATGCTTTATAACATTAATACATACATATATAAATTGAGAGTCCTTAGGAAGCCAGGCAACTCTTCATCATCTAGAAAGTTCTGACTTAATCTTTTCAGTGAAAACCTCTTTTATTGCTAAATATTCAAATAATCAGAATATCCATATCTTGTTTATTATAATTCTTTAATATAACTCATCATACATTTAATTGCCATATCCATTAATCATAATTTATCAAGTTAGTTTATTTCATTGCATATCATAATTTGTATGCATATTTCCATATACGTTTGAGTATTTATACCTTATGTGCAATACCACCGATATTCCTAGGACTAGGCTAGAGTGCAAAGACTGCAACCTGTCCTCTTAAAAAGAACGTCGCTTTTTAAGAGGACGGGTCGAGTTCAGATCCCACGTCATGAACCTTACAAGTGCTTGCAGTCATAGAGCTGTCTTATCATCTCCTTGTAAAACTTACATGTTAAATGTGTGGGTGTACCTGTAGGTATATTGTGTTCTGCAATATATGAGCCAGATCAGCGTTAAGAACCCTACCTGCTCCAGCCCATTACCAGTATCAAGGTCACAGAGGAGTGGACTTACCATCCAGCATAGGAACCTAGGGCCAGATTCACGAAGCAATTACGCAAGCACTTACGAACCTGTACATCTGTTCTCAATTTTTGGCGGCTTTGTTTACAATTATTAAACATTTAATGAGCTCCGATGCACCAGGAGGCTGTTTATAACAATAACAGAATTTGATTGGGAAGTTTTCATGCTTGTAAACTGTTCAATAAATGTAACCAAAGCCGTCAAATATTGAGGAAAGATGTACACGTTCGTAAGTACTAGCGTAACTGCTTCGTGAATCCGGGTCTTTGCATTCAGCTAAGATCTTTTGTGTTGTACTTTATTAACAATTGATTTAATTTTAAATTCATGGTTCCAGTAACCACATTTTTGTTTCTATGTAATTCTCCTTATGCATCCTATCCCGGTATTTTCCCCACACAACAGTGACGTGTACAAGGGCCACAGTGACGTGTACAAGGGCCACAGTGACGTGTACAAGGGCCACAGTGATGTGTACAAGGGCCACAGTGACGTGTACAAGGGCCACAGTGACGTGTACAAGGGCCACAGTGATGTGTACAAGGGCCACAGTGACGTGTACAAGGGGCCACAGTGACGTGTACAAGGGGCCACAGTGACGTGTACAAGGGCCACAGTGACGTGTACAAGGGGCCACAGTGACGTGCACAAGGGGCCACAGTGACGTGTACAAGGGGCCACAGTGACGTGTACAAGGGGCCACTGACGTGTACAAGGGGCCACAGTGACGTGTACAAGGGCCACAGTGACGTGTACAAGGGGCCACAGTGACGTGCACAAGGGGCCACAGTGACGTGTACAAGGGGCCACAGTGACGTGTACAAGGGCCACAGTGACGTGTACAAGGGGCCACAGTGACGTGCACAAGGGGCCACAGTGACGTGTACAAGGGGCCACAGTGACGTGTACAAGGGGCCACAGTGACGTGCACAAGGGGCCACAGTGACGTGTACAAGGGGCCACAGTGACGTGCACAAGGGGCCACAGTGACGTGCACAAGGGGCCACAGTGACGTGTACAAGGGGCCACAGTGACGTGCACAAGAGGCCACAGTGACGTGCACAAGGGGCCACAGTGACGTGTACAAGGGGCCACAGTGACGTGTACAAGGGGCCACAGTGACGTGCACAAGGGGCCACAGTGACGTATACAAGGGGCCACAGTGACGTGCACAAGGGGCCACAGTGACGTGCACAAGGGGCCACAGTGACGTACACAAGGGGCCACAGTGACGTGTACAAGGGGCCACAGTGACGTGTACAAGGGGCCACAGTGACGTGCACAAGGGGCCACAGTGACGTACACAAGGGGCCACAGTGACGTGTACAAGGGGCCACAGTGACGTACACAAGGGGCCACAGTGACGTGTACAAGGGGCCACAGTGACGTGTACAAGGGGCCACAGTGACGTGTACAAGGGGCCACAGTGACGTGCACAAGGGGCCACAGTGACGTGTACAAGGGGCCACAGTGACGTGTACAAGGGGCCACACCAACACTTACCCTCTCGCCATCGTCGTCGTCCTCCTCGGGGTCGTAGGCCTCCGCGAACACAGACTTCCTCCTGGTGAACCGGCTCAGGGGAGGTTCTGTAAGACAAGAAGCCAAGGGTAAGTGCCTCACGTGTATACCTCTTATATAAAGTGCCACCAGTATACACACTTACGGTATACGTGTCAGTGAAAGGTAAAATCAAGTTGTGAAGTATGGTATATGTGTATATATACATGGTATATGTGTATATATACATGGTATATGTGTATATATACATGGTATATGTGTATATATACATGGTATATGTGTATATATACATGGTATATGTGTATATATACATGGTATATGTGTATATATACATGGTATATGTGTATATATACATGGTATATGTGTATATATACATGGTATATGTGTATATATACATGGTATATGTGTATATATACATGGTATATGTGTATATATACATGGTATATGTGTATATATACATGGTATATGTGTATATATACATGGTATATGTGTATATATACATGGTATATGTGTATATATACATGGTATATGTGTATATATACATGGTATATGTGTATATATACATGGTATATGTGTATATATACATGGTATATGTGTATATATGTGTCAGTGAAAAATAACCAAGTTGTGAAGTATACACACACACACACACTTTCTCTTGTACAAATACACTCTCATACGCGGCTGAGTAGACGGCGGTCTGGGAATGGGGGGGGGGGAGGGGTCGTAGTCCTAAGAGCCCGGGTTCGATTCCCGGCCGAGGCAGAATCGATTGAGCAGAGTTTCAGTCGCTGTCTGCCTCTATTCACCTGGTAGTAAATAGGTACCTGGGAGTTAGACAGCTGCTACGGGATGCTTCCTGCGGGAGTGTGTGCAAGAGAAATATATGTGTAATTAATATAAGATTAATATAGGTTGGGAGTCAGTACAACCGTTATAAAGGCGGGAGTCCAAGAGCTAGCAGCTCGATCGTGAAGGCGCAACTAGTAAACACACACACACACACACACACACACACACACACACACACACACACACACACACACACACACAAGGGGGCACAGGTGGAAATTGAGTGCCCAAATGAGCCATAAATACATTAGAAAGAATTTGTTTAGAGTCAGAATGCATTAGGAAGTGATGTGGTGGAGGCTGACTCCATTCACAGTTTTAAGTGTAGATGTGATAAAGCCCAATAGGCTCAGGACCCTGTACACCTCTTGATTGACGGTTGAGAGACGGGACCAAAGAGCCGAAGCTCAACCCCCGGAAGCACAACTAGGTGAGTACACACACACACAACCTTAACCTTATGACACTAGAAAAAAGAAGGGAGAGGGAAGATATGATAGGAACGTAGAAATTACTCAGGGGAATTGACAGAGTGGAAACAGAAGAAATGTTCACACGGAATAGTAACAGAACGAGGGGACATGGGTGGAACCTGGAGACTCAGATGAGTCACAGAGATGTTAGGAAGTTTTCTTTTAGCGTGAGAGTAGTGGGAAAATGGTTGTGGAAGCAAACTCTATTCATAATTTTAAAACAAGAAATGATAGGGAAATGGGACAGGAGTCATTGCAATAAACAACCGATGGCTAAAGTCGGGATCCAAGAGTCAATGCTCGATCCTCCAGGCACAAATAGGCGAGTACAAATATGTGGGTACACACACACTCACACACACTTAGGCGGGATCCAAGAGCCAATGCTCGATCCTGAAGGCACAAATAGGTGAGTACACACACATAATCTAAAAAGAACACGCTTAAGAAAACTCAAAGTTTCAAAAGTTTGCAACGAGTCTCGTCCCAGAATTGCGAGAGAAGGGGGCATAAGGGCTCAAAGAAGTGGACTTTGAAAGAACAAGACCTCGGGAGTAGAAGAATTCTCGAAACCCTCTCCAGGTATGTTCCAGGGATTCAGAGACATGGCGCAAATCTTACTAATTCCTGAACCGAAAAGATAGGAGTATTATGTGGAGAAACTGAAGGAGCTGCATTATACTACATTATCTAAGAGACGGCAGACAAAAGACATGATCGTGATGCATAAAATCCCAAGAGAAATTGCCACAGTAGGTAAAAGAGAAATATTTGTCAATATCATCAGCAAAACTAATGATCACGAGTGGGAACTGGAGACACGGGAAAATAATTTACACATGGAAAATATTAGAGGGACTGGTTCCAAATCTGCACACGGAAAAAACACCACATGAGACAAGGCGGCATGGCAGGATGTGCAGAATAGCCTCGTGAAAAGCTGCGATTCAAGAGACACATTGAGAAACAATTTTAAACAAACATATGGGGCATAACTGGCCGACCCCTCACGGTGTTCAAAGGAAAGCTTGGTAACCCCCCTCAAAGGAATATTTGATCAGCCGGGCTGTGATTCATTGGTCAGGCTGTGAACACCTACGTCTAACAACTTTGTTGACCAGTTTTTTAGTTTAGTTCATTTATTGTGCACCCCATACCTATCTTATGGGCGGTAGTGGAAAGGGTTAGAGGCACATATTGGGCTCAGGGACTGAACCCCACATTATATGTAGCTAAGCAAGTTGACCAGACAACCAGGCTACTGGTCTCTAACCAGTATCCTGCAACCCGTTCTCGCACTTTCGTATAGTCAATATTGACTTATTAAATACGTGCATATGTGACATACTAAACATACTAGTTTACCTTGAAAAGCTTCATAGAAAACACCGACCTTACCTAGCCTTCTTAATATGTTAAGATAAGCATCTTATTGCTTCGTAATTACAATTATTACTTAACCTATTATAGGTATAGGTTAAGTAATAATTGTAATTACGAAGCAATAATATGTTTATCTTAACATACTAAGAAGGTTTGGTAAGGTCGGTGTTTTCTATGAAGCTTTTCAAGGTAAACTAGTATGTTTAGTATGTCACATATGCACGTATTAAATAAGTCAATATTGACTGTAAGAAAGTGCGAGAACGGGTTGTATCCTGGGTGGGCCACGGAGACGTTGATCCTCGGAACCACCGCAAGGTACCCGCAAGGTACCCGCAAGGTAAACAGGAGTCTTACATTTCGGTTACCTATCCGAGGATCAACGAACCCGCGGCCCGGTCTCTGACCAGGCCTCCTGGCTGGTGGTCTGGTAAACTAGGCTGTTCGACGCGGCTGCTTGCAGCCAGATATGAGTCACAACCTGGTTGATCAAATACCCCATTGACGGTGTTTGTCAAGTTCTCATTTGAACACTGAGAGGTCGGTCTGTTATGCCCCTTATGTGCAGAGGAAGAATGTTGAAAAATCTTGAGCCCTTGTTGTTAGAGTTCTCTCTCAGCGTACTTATTGCTCCAAATGATTTTCTCATTGATATATCACGCTGTTGTGACTTCTTTGTGTCCTGAATGAAGGGTATTTAGTAGAGAACTCGATTACACACAGGCCAGAGTGTAGGCGGGCTGTTCGTAAAACCTGGTTGTGGCGCCAGCAGGGTCCTCCACACACTCTTTGTGGACCCGGCAGTGTTCTGGGTTGAATAGCTTTTACCCTATCGTGGCCGAATGGGTTAAGGCAAGCGTCTGGTATTCACTACAATGCTGGTTCAAATGGCTGCATTGTTCCCAATGACTCCCTATTATTATTATTATTATTATTATTATTATTATTATTATTAATATTTTGTGGTACACAGGTGAGTGCAGGACTAGATGACTCGTTTTAGCAGGTTTTAGAGGCTTTCCCTTTCCACAGAATCATTTATCATGTTCAGTCTTCCCCTACTAGTTCCCCCTGGTACAAGACCCTACGCATAGCACTACACCCACCCAGACACCAATTATTGATTAAATATATACCCAAAATATACCCTGTCGCCCTATTTAGTGCGGTCTGTATATTCTAATGTTTGGGCTGGTTGGTGTGTGTGTGCGTGTGTGTGTGTGTGTGTGTGTGTGTGTGTGTGTGTGTGTGTGTGTGTGTGTGTGTGTGTGTGTGTGTGTGTGTGTGTGTGTGTGTTGTCCTAATTGTTCTTGTGGACTCTTTGGTTCCGCCTCTCAAATAGTGTACAGGTTCCCAAGCCTATTGACCTTTATCATCGTCACTTGGAAAAAGGTGTGTACTTTTAGTGGGCACTTACATTCATTAAGAATTACGTGTCCACTTACGAAACCTGTGCATCTTTTCCCCTCAATCATAGCGGCTTAAGTTTGTATCTTTTAAACAGTGATTGAGCTCCGGGGCGTTATAGCGAGGTTTTAACAATGTAAACTCTTGGGTTGTGAAGTTTACAAGCGTGTAAACTAATTAATAAATACACACTAAGCAAAAATGATTGAGGAAAGATGTACAGGTTTCGTAAGTGGGGACGTAAGTGCTTGATAAATCCCCGCCTTGCCATATATCACAATGAAAACTAACTGCTAGTGTTGGTAAGCTAGCAAAGACCTTAATAACCTCATAGTTAATAGGACTTATAGTCAAATCAAATTGTGCATTTCAGGCTATTAACTATACAACATTTTTATCATAACTTGCAAAACAAGTTCAATAAATTTCGGTTCAATCGTTCTGAAGTAAGAACGATTGAGAGTTCAATTGACAGTTCAAAATGCCAACTACTAGCAAGTAGAGCCTAAAAAAAAATTTAACATATATATAAAAATATTATTTACGAGAATGAACTTCTTCACATTTAATCTTAGTTCCTCTAAATTTTCATTCTAAAAAAAGCTTATAATATTAACAATTTAAATTTAGTAACTTTTTTTCCAAGAAACCTACTTCAAAATTTAAAGTAAACTAACTTTATTCCAAATAGGCTACTTTAAATTTAATTTCAAAATGTTTTGTACATATATCTGTTAATCACTTAGTTTTCTTGTAAAGTTAAAGAAAAAATTTAGTCACTAAATAATCCATATTGATTGCATTTAATATACAGAAAAGACTATTCTTGCTTATATAACAAAAATCTTAATTGTCCTTGAAATTTATTTCAAATATAATAAATATTGAGTAAGCAATAACTAGGAATGAAGTAATTCGGATAACGGAAACCTATTTATAAATAAAAGGCCATT